ATGCTGGGCACTGCCTTAAATACCCCCCGGTGGGTGCTCGCTGGCCAGCTTGGCTCCGGGCAGATCTTTCCATGGTGTCGGTTGGTTAAGCTGCTGGTATCCAGGCAGGCTGGCTCTGCCAAGGTGAGAAAATGTAACAACTTTCTGTTGAAGGCTCTCCAGGGGATCCTCAGGACACCAGCAAGCAGTCCAGAATGTCCCCTAGGTCGATGAAGACAGCTCTGCAAAGAGCCAAAGTCGGTGTTCACCATTTTGTTTGGTCGCTGGGCTTCAGAGGTGCTCCTGAAAGCCTGCAAAACTTACACTTTGGTACCTCAGCTGATGGAAATAGCTTTGTTAGTGTAAAGTGGTTAATCACCGCTTATGCAACTTTAAACAGCTTCGAAGAAGCCTTGCTCAAGGCGCTTAATTGCCCCATTAACACCTCTCACACCTCGGCAGAACGGCTAATTACCAATTGTTTACTGCACCATAAACGTAAAAACAAGTTAGCTAGTTAGAGATGGAACAATCTCTTACAACAATGGAACTTATTTCAAAAGTAGCCTCATAGACACCTGGGCCAGAGAGCATGGGATTGAGTGGGTATGTCATATTACCTGCTATGCACCAGCCTCCAGGAAAATTAAATGGTACAATGGACTGTTAAAAAACATATTGAAAGGAATGGGTGATGGGACTTTCAACATTGGGATCTGCATTTAGCGAAGGCCACCTGGTTAGTTAATGTTAAAGGCTCTACCAACTCAGCTGGCCCGGCCCAGTCAAAACCTCCATGTACCATAGAAGTGTGTAAAGTGTCCATGGTGCATATAAGGAATGTGTTAGGGAAGACAGTTTGGATTAGTCTTGCCTTACGCAAAGGCAAACCCATTTGTGAGATTGTTTTTGCTCAAGGACCTGGGTGTGTGGCGGTCTAAAAAGGTGTAATTAATAAGGAAATTGTAGATTTTGCATATAAGTTGTTGTATTGTATTGTATTCTACATATAATGTATGTATGTTCTGTTCCTTCATTGGTTGATATTTGATGCAGTACCATATATGGTTATGTTCAGCCCCTGTTTCCTATGATTGGTTGTAATTTGCATGCTCCACCTAAACCCCACCTTGTGTTCTAGTGCTTTCTTTACCCATCTTATTTAAGGCTGGAGCCATTTTGTGTAGTGCTCTTTTGTGCCCTTCTGTTCCTCCTTTTAAGCCGTTCAGTTGCCCTGCTACTTTTATAATAAAATCACCTTACCAGCTGCACCCAGACAAGCTGTGGAGGTCTTTATTCAAACGCCGACCTCCGCATGGGTGCACTTGGTGGGTAATGCTGAGGGATGGGGAAACACAATATGTTTCTCAAGGAGCAAGAATAGTATGTAACGCTGAATTGTATAATATTCGTTGCTGAATGACTCTGCCACTGTATGCCATATCTGCCATGGACAGTGAGGATAGACTGCTCCAGATATACCAGTTGTGAGTTCCTGGTGCAGCTTGCAAGTAGCTGACAGCACACCAGCCCTCCTGCCCTGAAAGACATCTAGGGCAGATAGAACCCAGAGTCATGGACTAAATGAACTCAACAGACATTTTGGAGGATGACCACTGACTATGGCAATGATACCTCTCCTTGCGTATATATAAATATAGAGAGACAGAGAGACATAGTTGGAAGGTGTAGGATCTGGGCATGATGTAGATGGTACAGAATAAAGGATGGATAATGTCCTGGATCTGGTCAGGACTGGGTTAATTTTTACAGTAGCCAAGAGGGGGCATTGCTGGGACTTAGATGTTATTCTATACCATCTCATGTCATTTTCTGTGGACAGGGAAAGGAGACCCTTCAAGGTTGGGTAGTGTGGCAGACAGAGTGGTAGGGTATTGTCAGAGGTGAGAATCACAGAATATTTTAAGTTGGAAGGCACTTATAAAGATCATTGAGTCCAACTCTTAAGCAAATGGTCCATACAGAATTCACACGTGAATCATTCGTTTCTTGTGCACTTTTTTATTAGTATTATTGCTGTTACTCTTCCTTTTCTTATCTCATTGCTGTTTCCAGTAAATTGTCCTTTTCTCAACACATGGTCTTTATTTTTTGTGCCTCTAATTTTCCTCTCCATCCTGCTGCAGGGGGAGAGGAGAGTGAGCAAGCACTGTGTGGTTTGGAGTGGTTTCAGTGGGAACTGTGAATTGAAAAATTCAATTCCTTAACCATGACAACTATCTATGTATTTTTTAATCCTACCTCTTCTCTCAGGCATGCTCAATAAGGTTTAGAAAATTTTACAAGCCAAAACCTGGAGAAGATAAATGAATGTAGTTTAGGCTTAAAAATCAAATGTAGTTTAGAAATAAAATGTAATCCCAATTACCTTATGCAGGGTGTCCATACAGACATGCACATAAACCCATGCATATACATACATCCATATGAACAAAACTACATGGAAAATCTTTTGAACTTTGTAGAAGAAGCAGCTGTGTACTTGCATTTGTCAAAGTCCCCAGCTGTGCCTTCTGCATAAGATCATGCAATGTTGTCTTCAGATTGTCAGTAGAACGTATTAATTTTGCACCATTTTCTGTTCCCTTTACACTCTTTGTCATGAAAATGAGCATGTATAATGAAGAGAGCATGAGAGGCATTAACATTCGATGATAACTCACTTCACTGTCAAAAATAGTGGTCACACAATGGAAGTGGCATGTTTATCCACTCTCAAGGCCAACATAGGCATGAAGACTTAAAAATGACATGGCACTACTATATTGTATTTTTTTGGGAAGGATTATATCTTATGCAAATGCAAAATCCCCATTATGACTGACAAAAGCAAAAAAATATTTTTAGCAAACTGCCAATGTAACAAAATGGGTTTGAAATTCATGTTTCCTTTCCAAAATTTCAGGAATTACAAAATTTTTTTTTGTCTTGAAATGACCTTGTCCGTATAGGACTGTCAGAATCATTGAAGGAACCTTTGTGGCTGGAATACAAGCCTCTTTGAAAACTGATTTCAATTCCCTTTTGTGACAAGTAACTTCTATCACAGTATTTGAACAACATCCCATTTTGTTGTTGTTTCTGAAACCCAGTCTTCTACGTGCCATCCTCTAAACCACAGGATATTTTACATCTAGACAGTTAGGACTGGAATGAAAAAAAAAAGGCTGAGCAACGCAAACACGAGCATTATTTGGCCATCTGAATTCAGCTACATAATTTTCAGCTGATTTTGCATGGTTGAACATGTAAATCACCCACCCTGACTTCTGCCAACTGCTCCAGTGGCAGCTGCTCCACCTGGCCTGCAGACCAGCACTTTCTCCTGTTCCCAAGCACAAGAGGGGTAGAAGTTTCCTCCAACCCACTCTCTGAGCTTCTGAAGAGCCAAAAGACAACCCCAGTGTGCCAACAATGCAACTGGATCATGCAGCTAGGAAATTTAACATCATTTTCTGATGATGCTATGCAGTAAAAAAACCCACCCACCCAACCAACCAAAAGACCAAATCAACCAACCAAAAAAACAAAACAAAACCAAAGCAAAACAAAACCACCCAAATGCAAGACACCTTTTTTTTTTCTGCAGGATCCATTCCCAGATTTCTGTCATAGGCTCCAGTTTCTCCTCACTCATCTGGATCTAACTCAGGACTTTGCTTAAGAAAAGATGAACTGGTAGCTCTCTACCACTTAATCTGTTCCCAGATCTTCAAGGATAGACTACTGGCTTGCTCTCCATTCACAAGATGGCCATGAGGGCAGCTTAATCACTCTGCTTTTGAAGGTTCAGATTATAGGAAAATAAGACACTATCTATCGTGCAGCAGTAGGAATAAAAAAATCCTGTAATAGTAAGACATAGATGCCTCAGGGCTTGTGCTGGCAGAAAATTCAATCAAAAATAAGCTTGAAGAAATTAGATATATATTTCTTCATGGTCTATGCTCCTGGGCAGAGAATCAGTGATTTCCAGTATATTATCACACTGGCAAATGCCCACATACCACATGTCTCTCTGTCCTTTGGAGATACCATGTTCTTCTACTGATCCTCTCCCCCTCTTTGGCTGGAAACACAAGGTAAGAGGGGAAAACACTACCAAGAAGGATCTCCTGAACCATCAGATCCACCACCCACCTCAAGAGTTCATAACATATAACATTTTCATATGGTGAACAAATGCCAAATTCCTGAGTTAGAAAGGGCAAGAATATCAGTAAAAAAATTATCTGTCTTCTGGTAGAACAGCATTGTCAAGATCATTACTCACACAGTAAGTGGGTTTTATCAACAACTCACAGAAAATCTGTCTTATGATACCCAACTTGATTACCTTTCCCTAGATAATCATTATGCTTCCACTGTATTTTTTCTGCTGTTCTAGGAAGTTCAGAATTATTCTGAAAAAGAAGAAGATTACTCTCTTCCTTAGTTTGTATTTAACTAAGACCCATCTAAAGCCCTGATTCTTCACAGAAACCCTGTGTGCATACTGCAGTGTGCACAGAAGTATTTTGGGTTTTGGCAGACGTGCAGTATTTAGGTTTGGGCCAAACATGAGAGCATCCAGAAAGGGAATCTTTTCATTCTCACCTCCTGAGTAGAAGCAACATTAACCACTTGTGCCATAGAAAGTTTAGGTATTTTCAGCAAACTTTCTGTACCTGGAAGTCCAAAACAACAACTATTACACGATATCAACTTAGTCCTCTGTCAGTACTGTCAATATTACTTATGCAGCTGAACTGAGTGAATCATCAGATGACTCAATCTCCAAAGCACCATTATAACAGTAAATAAATAAAATCCTTCCCTCACACCAAGGAATTGCATTCATACACACAGCCTTACTGAAAATCCTGATTGAGAGCAATTTGAAAAGAAATAAATGCAATTTGAATTTTTGAAAAACTCATCAGCACTGCTATAGTTCCCATGAATAAACAGATCTGATTTGTTAAATCTCTTTAACCTTCAAAGATGATTAGGGAGTCATTTTTATTGTTGCTGCTGTTGCACAAATGGATAGATATATTTCCCAGCAAGTTTTGGAGACAGGCTGGTAGCAGGTACAATTAATTCAGTACATATCATTTACTGCATCCTCGCTTCTTTCACAGAAATCCTTGCCAACTGATCCCAGGCAGAAGATTGGCTTTGGTTCTGTAAGCAGCTGCTCATCTTCCCACTTTACTGGAGGTAAGATGTCACAGTAAAGCAGCTGCCGAAAGAGTGGGAGGGAGACACCAATGAGCAGCAACAATTGTGTTGATGAAAAAAAATAAAAGGAAGGAGAAAAATGCAAGAGTGGCAATCTCACTTTCTTCAAACAGATTGGGCTATACTACAACTTACTTACCTCAAAAGAAACTGTGTGACCACAAGTCAACCTTGGAATATGTGAACTCTTGGAAACTTACACAACTCAAAAAGTCAACATAAAATAAATCTATTAATAATATATTATTCTCCTGATAATGAGTTCTGTGATCAAATTTGACATACTCAGAGATCTGAGGTTTCTGAAGAATCAGTGCAGATTTAATCTTATCTGATTCTGCCTTAAATGCATTAAGCCTGGCTTGCAAGAGATAATAATTATTTTTGTCAACATCAATATAAGTAAGAGTTCTGGGGCCCAACCTCAAAGAAAATAGGAGTGGGGAGAAATCAGAAAAAAAACTTGGAATCCTGGAAGTCAAGGAATAAGTAAAAAAAATTTAATAAAAATCTTTGTTGTAGCAATAATCTGTTGAAATCAATGGTACTCTGCTTAGATGTAAAGATCTGCTCTCATAATTTTCCTTGCATAATCAGGCGTGACTCAAATATGTCAAGGTAAATTGCCAGTTATCACATGTAATTAATTGTTTTTGAGAATATTTTTTAAGCTGCGGATTTTTAAAATATGGTCAGATCCTGAATTATGTTACAGGATATTATAGGAGAGTTACACTGCACTTTGGTAAAACACTTCAGAGTACTGCAGAATACTCAATGTGCTATTTCAGAAATAAAAGAAAGAACCTCACCAAAATGTGCATAATGCCAAACACTCATGGAAGACATCACACAATCTCAACACTTTAAAAACTGTGAAATTGGCTGAGGGATTTTTTTTTAATGTAAAAGCTGTACTGCTCTTCTAATAACATGAACTCAAGAAAGAGGACTTTTAAGAAAATTCCCAGGTTTTTCAAATGCTCGTAATACCAAGCAGCTAACAAACCCATTGCGCATTTGCATAAGTTTTTGGTATTCAGGCAGGAGGGTGTATATTTCTGCAGTGAAATAAGTCAGTGTAAACAAACAACTGTTCTAAAAGTGAAAATTAAATTTAAAATGTGATCCAAGACATGAAATCATAGAAATCACATGAAATCACACGAAACATAGAAACATGGGACATTTAATGAACAATGAATATACAATGAACATTGTATACATGTACAGGTTAGTATATACAATGATGGCCACAGTCTCAGTACCCTGATTCTTGACTTGTTTATAGGATAATTAAAAAATTATTAAAACACAGATTAGTACATAGATTTAAATTTTATTCCTCTTCTTTCATGCTGCAGAGATCGTGGGTTTTCATACTTCTCCACTCTTTTTGGCCTTGCCTGTTTATTGTCCTTTTTTATCCCAATTATAACTATAATTTTGGTTATTTGTTACCTGAGGTAGATTTAATTAAACTCATGATTTTCTAGTTTAAAAGAAGTCCACAGTATCTATAAAGACTAGAAGAAACAACACACCCACCAAATCTAAACTGGCACAACTAGGTGGCATGCATATGTGTGGTATGTACATTTTCATCAGAATGTTTATCTCTTCTTACTACCTGATTCTTTTTGCCACAAGCTTAACCTACTTTTCTGTTTTCCCCCTCTGCATTTTTATAGCACATTTAAGTACTTTTTCCTTTTCATTTTGTTTCTTGTTTTTAGTCTTAAGAAACGTTCAGACCCCATGTAAATACTTCATTATCAACGTTATGTCAATTGAAAAATACATAAAAGACAGAATGTGTAGGTCTGGATATCAAATAAACAATGTTCAAATGAGTTCAAAAATAGCCTACATTTTTTCATTATTAATCTGAGCTACTTTATCCTCCAACCACTCTTAAGCTTTGCCACAACCCAACAAAATACTAAAAGGAAGAACTTCCATCTCCTCATTTAGCAATGGAAAACCCACTAAATTTCTGAGGCAATAACTCTTGATATGCAAAAGTTAATTAGTATGTACATATTGGTCATAGTGGTCTATAGCTAGCCATACTGAACAAAGAAAACATTTGCCACATTCTTTTCCCCTGCTATGTCATTTTACAGAGGAAGCCTAATTACAGCTGATTTTCTAAAGCTGACATGCAAATACCACAGCAGAATTGTGAACAAAACTCAGATTTCCCAGCCCTCACTTTCATTCTTCCATAAACTCCTGTTTTCCTTGATCTCCACTTCCTCCCCTCATTGCTTGAGTGTGCAGTTGGATTAACTGATCCTACCATGACCATGCTAGGTTGGCTTTCCTTTTGAAAGGAAACAGGTGTCAGAAAACACGCGAACTTCAGCAGCAAACACAAATCTGGATACTTCCAGGCCAAGTTTTCATTCCCTTCCATGTATTGGCCCCTGGACATTACTGACTCAGCTGTGTGAGGCCTCTCAGCAAATCACATTGATGAAATAACCACAAATTATCTCTCAAAAAATATGTACTTTGTTTTACCTGGCTTATTTCAATGATTTGATTTCTAATATGAGGTCATCAATGTGGTAGAGGAACATACACAAATGATGAGGGAGCAACAAGGTCCTTCACCAAACTTGCTACAGAAGGTCACAAAAATTACAGGTATGCTATTCAACACCCTGAAGAGCTTTCCCTCTCATAGCTTTGCTGCTACATCTGGTCCCAAAGAATAATTTTCTGCTTTTATTGCTCATTGGTGACATCAGATATTTGTCAGGCAGACAAATTGGTCTTCTTTCATTTACTTTCACAGAAAAAGCAAATACTTTAAGACTAGCCAACTCCTTGAACTTTGTTGCACACAAATCACAATGAATATAAAAAATAAGCTGGAAAACAGAAGCTTCTAGTCCCAGTACTTGTTTTAGCACCTCCTAGTCTCAGCTGAACCAACTCTGTAGGAACCAACAGAGGGAAAAGGAAAACAAATAGTCTTGCCTGAACAAGAAGCTCACATTTCATACAAAAAGGGAAGAAACGAAACAAAACAAAACAAAACAAAAACAGAAAAGTCAACAGACTTTTTGAACTCCCAAGAGGATTCAAAGATAGTTTGATTTAAAATATTAGATAGCATGGAGCTTAATAATTTACCAGATTCCCAGTAACTAACTGATATCTATTCATAAGTGCTTTGTTTGAGTTCTTGGTCTTGGCAGATATTTGGCAAGGAGTATGTGATTTGAATTACATTTTATGAGGAAAGTCTGAATTCATGGAAATTTATTACCCATGCCACTGTGTGATAAACAATAGTTTAGCAGTATTTGTTGCTCCTGCCACTAATTTTACTTTTCCTCAAACCTTGCTGTACATAAATTGATGACAAAACTAGAACATTTTCTACTATCAAAATATCACATTATGTACTACGGAACAGAAAAACTCAGCAAGCAACCAAAACCATCAAACCTCAATATGAATTAAAAAAACCCCTCATTGTTTGACATGAAATTTGTAGTGGAAACATTATCAGACATTGTGGTGAGAATATTTAAACAGGAACTGCCACATGCCCATGTAAAATACAATTCAGTAACTAATTAATTCTTCCCATTTTTACTTCTACCATCAGCATAATGGAACTAAAGGCCTGTTCAACAGCTGAGTGTCTAACAAGTGTAACTGATGGAAATACAGCCTTGGAGGTCTACAAGGGCTGTTGAATCTGAAACTACGAAAATGTTAAAAGCCTAAGCTAATGATTAGATCACTGAGAAATAGTTCCTAGGTCAACAAAGCTGAAGTTGTTCAAACAGCCACTGGGACATTTCCCTTCCCCCCAGTGTGCAAAAAGGAAGCAAAAAACAAAGGAAGTTAGATCAATGGGCTACTGTAGCACATTACTACTCTTGCATATGGAAAACCCAAGCTGGCAAATACCAGGTCACAGTATTTTACCCTGCTTGGCTGTTAAACAATGAACATTGAGACCATTTTTACTGTAAAACAGAGAAAAGGAGAAAAAAAAATTTATAAAAACAGATACTATGTATTAATCTACAGAGAAAATGGAAAATCTGAAGGAATTTGCTCTAATAATCCATTATATCTGATGATTTTATCATTGTTTTAGGATATGCATTTGAAATTAGTACAGCTGAGCGAAGCATCTTTTCTCCTGTGTGCTCCAGAACTGCTGGGTTGTTTTTGAATGAATTCAGAGTGCACAAGAAATTTCTGATTGACAGTTCAGAAGAATATATTCATCTACAGACCAGACAGAGCCTAGACAGCAACAATGAATGCTGGCCCCCACCTCAACCCTAACCTTTAGGGTCAGGTGAGGAGCAGGTTGTTCTATGTTAGGGTCAAGTTTCATCATCTAAGAATGTTTTTATTGATTGATTCTTTTGCTTTGTTTATTTATTTTTTTTAAGTAACTCTGTTACTCCAGAAAAACAAGTAATATATTACTGAGAGACTGAGGATTTGTCTGAGTTAGCGTAAAGCAGTGGTTCTTCCCCTTTTCAAAGTAGGTTTTTTGGGGTGTTTCTTCTTCCTTTCAGTTGAATTTAGCTCCTAAGTGTAACCCTGACAAGATTAAGTTCAGGTAGAAACTTTTGATTGTGAAGAAATTGCCAATAACAATTATTGCTGCTACTGCAGCTCCTATGAAAGACTGAAGACTATATCTTAAAAGAGTAATTAATGTGTGATAATTGTGCTTCATTATAAAATAAAGACATTTGAAACTGCGAAGACTGCTGTACTGTAACTTTCCAACTATTGCCATTAGACATATTTGTGATAACTTGATTCTTAAAGCAACTTGAGATTTGATTTTTTTTTTCAATTTGCAAATTTATCATCTGCAACTGATCAGAGAATACCACTGCACTGGAAACACATATGTAGAAAATTAAATTCTATTCAATGGGAAAAGTGGTCTCCAGGAATTACAATGCTTCACATTATGTTACATACCCTCACATTGAATTAATTGCCATAATTTTTTTCTCAGCACTGGAGAAAATATAATTTTATCCAGTTTCTTAGACTACTTTAAAAATAATCTAAATCCTTGGTATCCTTGTAACATCATCCTAACTCACTCTACACCAGAAGTTCTTGCTTCAACATAAACTAGAGCACAAGTGAGAAAATTGTGAGGCACTGGATAAAAGAGGAAAGTTGCACTGTAAACATTAAAGGGAGTAATAATGGAAAATATTTTCTTGTTTGTTCACAAGTTCAGTGACAGAAAGGTGGACAGAGCTAGTAGACTATTGCTTTGAATCTTAGTTCAAAGCAAATATATTTAGCACTTAAACTGGATTTATAAAAGTGTTTATAATTGTCAGGGTTCCAGCCAGGACAGGGTTAATTTTTTGCAGTAGCCAGAAGGGGCATGGTTGGGACACAGAGGTTATTCTATACATCTCACATCATTGCTAGATGTGAGGGGTGAAGGGACTCTCTTGTGGGAGAAGGGATTCCTTCCAGCCAAGAAAAGGTGGCAGAGGGAACCATCCATATTGTCTATTGTCTGGGGTTTTCAGTGTGAACCGTTCTTTTCTTATACCCTGTGGTATTAGTATTGTTGCTGTTACTGTTTGTTTTCTTATCTCATTGCTGTTTCCAGGAAATTGTTCTCATTTCAACCAGTGATCTTTGGCTTTTGTGCCTCCAGTTCCCCTTTCCATCCTGCCACAGAGGGCGAGGTAGGGGGTGGGGGGAGTGGGGGAGTGAGAAAGCAGTGTATGGTTTGGAGAGTCTTGGTGGGGGCACTGAGTTGGGGAGTACTATTCTTAAACCAAACAATAATATAGCACTCACTACTACAAACTGTTAGGGACCTGTTTCCCTCCCTCTAACCTAAGAACAATGCAAAGAAAAACACAAGAAAATCAACTTCTGTAAAGTATTTCTTCAGTGTATTTGTGTGGATTAAGTCAAGACTATTTATTTTTGTCCTCCTTCCCCCCTCACTTTTTGGACAATGTTAGCAAACAGCAGTTGGAAGACCTAAAGGGACATCCTTATGTCTATATGGAGAATATGTTGCAATCATTGAAAATTTTATCACTGAATGCATTAAGGGGTGAATGAAGGATATTTTATGTCGCAGTTTAGATTCCTAAATCAGAAAGTCTCACAAATTGAGTCAGTTCAGATTTTCTTTTAATTGCTTAGCTGTAACTGATTCCACGGCTTCCTCAGGCATAACCATTTTTTAGTGTAAAATTTTCAAATGGGAGAAGCTGAAACCTGCCTGAATGTATTGTGGATTTCCAGACGCATGATGTCTTATCTGTGGTAGATGACTGCCAGACATTTCAACAGTATGTGCTCAGGTGAACTGCTCAGCACCGGTATATCAAATTTGCTTTTGCCAGGGAATACTGAATTTTGATGCACAAGCACTGCACAGGTTGTGTATATAATCATGATACACTGCACTGAAAACCTTGTCTTTATAAATACATCCAATGTTTCCTCAAAGTATTGAAATGCCAACACTTCATAAGATATATGTGTGCTGTCCAAATACAATGGAATCATCAGATCTCTCTGAAAATTCTTACCAGTGAGATTCACACCCTGAATGAGGAGTTTAGAGCCATATGATGTTTACTCCGTCAGTAGTTCTCCAAATATCTCTGTGCTCATTTATAACCTATTCATACGAGTCGTTATTTTTATTGGCAGTTATAAACGTATGTGTTTCAAAAAAAGCTTCGGCTAGAATTAAGATGGGCATCCAATGTTGTCACTTTTCAGGGTCTGTGAAAATTTTTTGCAATGGTTTTTAGGTATCATACCTTCAAACTAAATTAAGATAATTTCAAAAACAAGAGGAACACTTGGGAAACATGACAGTACATGACAGTGTGTGGCTGCTGTTGTTATTTAGAAGCACACTAGAAAAAAGTACTCAATAATGAGCAGTCTTAGATTTCCACAGTAGGGTAGATGAAGTAATCCACATTTGCTTTATTGTCCTCTTCATATCAACCTATGAAGCTCTGTGCAGCTGGAATGAAAAAGTCGGATTACTCTTTGGGTCCTTATAGGTCTTCACTGTCTGAAAAAGCAACAAACTAAAATTGCATTATATTTTTTAAAATTATGTGTAAATGCACATAATGATACTAACCAAGGTTGTCATAAATGTATGGCACAGACTCAAGCTGTCATGAAGGATGAGCTGAAAAAATGATCGTCATGATCCAAAGTAAAGAAAGGGGCTGAAGATCTTGTTACAACTTCCAGTGTATACCATTGGCACAGTTGATGCACTAAAAAAGATTCTGAAGGTCAATAGTTTTTCATCCTTCCAAATTATAGATTAGACAATAAATTACCCAGTAACACAAATAGTAGGAAAACATTGTTTCTGTACAGAGTCCATGAAACAAATAAAAATTTTCTGTGTCACTTCAAAACCAGTATGATATATAATTGCAAAATTTTAGGACTTTTTTAAGGTCAAGTGTAAACACAACTGCAGAGAGCACCTAATTTTGATATTACTTTTTGATACAAGATAAAAGAATTCAGATTTTAATATAGTAATTTGACCTCTCACACTGTTGCAAACTAGCATGTATATGGCAAAAAAACTCAACTTGTTTTCAGAAATATATATCTGAGGTGTTTGAAAAACATGCATTTTGTGTTTGGTATTGAAATTAAAAATTCAAGAGTTGATTGTAAGGTGAAATGCTATGCTTACATTCAAGTTCATTAGGAAGACAATATTAAATATCTCCTTAATGATAAAAATGACTTTTCTAGATTTCTAGATCATTTTCTAATAGTCTATGACTAATTCTGAAATTTACCATTTTACCATGACTAATGCGTGAAATCTGTCATCTTTCTTCATGATTTAAACAAGGTCCTAATAAGAAGAACAGAAAGTTGATAATATTACTTGAATAGTAATTTGTATTTTACTTGCTCATATTTTTAGGAGAGAGAAGAGATATTTGTCGTTATACTTTCTTAGAGCCATTGGTGTACCTTTGATATCATCACTGGATGATAACATGACCGACCATATCCTTGTTTGTTACTCAAAAATTATATCAATTGATGAAATGCTGTTACAAAGGAAACAATCAAATGCCCTCTGGAAGGGGACGGCTATTGAGTTCCTTAGCTTCCCATAATTAGGTTGTTAATAGACAAAGTCTTCCACAAAAGCAAGAAATTTTACATAATCTAGTTAGTTATACCTATTACTAAGAAGGAACTATTTATTTCCAAACTTCTACGTTATGTTGGAAATCCTTAAAAGTAGGAATTTAGATCAGTTCTTCTACACATATTTCTTGTAAGCACAGGTTGCACAGGGCAGAGAAAGTAGCAAATTCAATTTGAAAACAACCTTGAAACTACCTGAGCTATCAGAAGCCCTTGTGATGGTGATGGGAATGAGGTTGTTAAAACCCAAAATTTCCCAGTTTTAAATACTAAATGTGTTTTGAAACACATTTCAGTCATGATCTGCGAAGAGAGAAAATTTGTCACTTGATCTGGAATCATTGCATGTTGATATGGAAAGCTATGAGGTCTTAAAGGACTTACGAATGTCCCTAAGTCACACTGAAATCGGTATTTGAAAACTCTACTGCAAACTCCTCTTTTTCTATTATAAAACTGAAGATACTATATGAGCAAGTTTTGTCCCCAGAAATTTTGTCCCAATGGAAGGTAGTTATCAGCAGCGCCTACAGAAAACACATCCCATTATTTCTTTTGTACAAGCAAACAAACAAAAATTAGAACATGCATCTTGCCAAATATGACAGCTTATCAAGGGGTTTGATATAAGAGTATATCAGAAACATCTTCCAAGGGCTCAATTTCAGATATATATTCTTTAAGGGGAACTAAAATTTTAACCCTTAGCCATGGTGACAGTACTTTTACATAGATATTAAGATAACATAATCGCACTTGGAGACATTGTATATCAGTAATGCAATGAAGCAAAATTCATCTATCTTTAACAGACTGAGAAAAATGAAGATGATAATGACTCTGAAACACAATTAAAATGAATGCTCAAGGACGTGCAGGTCTGCTGGACAGAAATAAAATGCTTGGCTCAAAAAGCCTCTTTGCTGCTTTGTCACTTCAGTATCCTCCTTTTTCATAAAAATGTCAAGATGTGTCTTGCATTTATTTATAATGTTTTCTGGGATGATCCAACTTGGTGACTTCATATATTTAAACCTTGGTGTAATTAAAAAATTCTGCCCCAATTCCCCACTTTTACTGCTAAATTCCCAGTATGTTTTTCTAGGTCTTTTTTGCCCACCTCTACTGTAGAAAACAATGTCACTATTTTTTCTCACCTAATGAAATGTCTTCATTTCCCTCCCCTTACCGCATTATCATCTCAACATTTTATCTTCACTGAAGAGAACATGTTTCTTAGGATAAACCTTTCAGGAACTTGTCACAATATTCTTAAAGCAGGAAATCATTTCAGTTGTCTCTCAAAACATCACCTTTAAGGAAAGGTGGAAAGATTGTAAAATCCCAATGTTTTACACGTGGCTGTTCAACTGCACTGTCCTGAATCCTTTGCCTGTGACACCTCTTAGAACTGCTTTTACCAACCAACTGTTCAGCCATGGATTCTGTACCAAAGAAATTGTCATGGTTAAAATAGGCTTCGTATTTTATTCCCTTTTTTCAACATTGTTTTGGAGAAACTATTCCTTTAAGAGCGAACTCCTCATCACAGTCGGGGTAGTTCTGGCTGCTGGGGCAGAAGCAGAACTCAGGGAGCCAGAGAAAAGGAGAAAGAGCCTGCACCAGTACTACTGTGGTGCCAGGATCTAGGACAGGATCTCAGTACTTTCTTTTTTCTCCCCAGGGTGAAGGGGACATGGGGGGGTGGAGAAAGCACCTGTTGACCACCATCCTGTCTGTTCACCAAGGGGAAAGAAACTAGGAATTATTTCTATTATTGACTTAAACTCTTTTCTTTGTATTGTTACAGATGTTATATTTTCTTTTCAGTAAACTGATATTTTTTCACTTAAATCTCCTTACATTTTGTCTCTCTGTATTGGTGAAAGGGGGAGAGGTTTTACTAAATGGGGAGGGGGCTCACCTGTTGGAGTCTCTGCCCCAGTATTTGTCTTTACACCAAGACAGAGATTTTATTGTAATTATTTTTCACAATCTTTATTAAGTCCTTTGCTAGTCCTTATACCACAATTCTTCTGCCACAATCAATATGTTTGATTTTGGCTCATTAGCCAGAGATTAGTTCATTTTTATGGGTTAAGCCCCTCATCTTGTTACTTTCTTACCTTGAAAAAAAATGGTTAAATTTTCAAGGGTTTTTTGTGCCATTTCTCTGTACATTTTACATTAATTTATCTGATGATCATTGTACTTCCACAGCAGAAACTGCATAGATATTGTTTAAGGAACGGCCACTGGAAAATGAGTCTCTCATTTGTGGAAACAAATAATTCTAGGAAATTCTAGGGCTGAATTCATGAAAATTGGCCATGATGTTACTGTTACTGATTTTATCTGTACTGCACTCAGGAGCCTGTACTGAATTTTGTGCCCAAAATTATAATATCTACTTGTCAGTAAGGAATCTAGTACTCTATGTTGCCCCCAGGTAATAACTGGTGTCTTCAAGGAGTATTACTGACTTAGATTTTCAAATAAGTCACAGCTCAGGGAGTCCAGAGCATTTTATTCATAATTTCCTTTTCAGGTAGCAGCAGTGTCTACAGACTACTATATAAAGGACATTGGAGTGATAAGCATATGTGAGAACTCTATCTTCAAAATATTATTTCTATGACATTTGATTGTGACTAGCGAATCTTTCTGCTGACATCACATCCCTCTTCTCTAGAGTTCTTACTTCATAATGGCTACTTCCCCAATTTTCCCTGTTCTTAGCAAGTGAAATGATTTACTTTAGAATCTACAGACTGACTTTTCAGCTTCAAATGAACGATCCATCAAAGTTCTGCACAAAACTGTTTTGGAACATTGGAGTTTGCAACAAAGATTGTCAAGATATTTTATTAAGTGCATAGATGACACACAACTTCATTAGAAGTTTCACAAAAGTTTCATTCCTTTACCATCATCACCTTCAGACCTGTGGATGATAAGAAGAGATTTTTTGCAATGTGTTATTTGTTTGATTCTAGGAAAATGTTCTTCATAAATAAAATGGAAATATTAGAGGGAAATGTGAAAAAACATAGATATTGAAAAAAAATAAAATCAGATCACACCTCTCATAGAAAGTTATATTTTTCCTAACTGTAGTATTATAGGATAAGTGTATGTCCAGGTTGTTCTACCATTGTCTCAATTATCCCTGGGAATGTACCAGTTTACTTACCCTCTGTGGGTTTTCCATACCATGCTGCTTTCTCGGTAGACTTATGTCAGGTCCTTAAAATTAATCTGTTAGAGCACAAATGGTTTTCACAAAAAGCTTGACAGTCAGTTATGTCTACTCCCCAATAAAAAGATGATCTTGCATACAACCATATCAGCAACTTTTCCTATGGGGAAACACATTGTCTCTTGGTCCTAACGACAGTCCTAAGCTCAAATATATATTCACCGAGAATCAGATAATTAATTCTTGGTAAGAGATTTTGCGTGTATTTTAGAAAATAATATAAATTCAATAAAAAATGCAGAAGTGAGGAAGTGAGATTAACACAGAGCTGGTTGAGCTATAAACTGCAGTACTGCATTTCTCCAAAAAATATATTTTAATGGCTGATGCTCTTTCTGAGGTGTCAGATGCTAATCCTCTGGTAATGTTTAATTTTTGATGGGCTCATCGGGGAAACCACAGTCTAGCTCTGATGATCAAGAAGTCTACTGAGGTTCATTACTGTTGGTATTTAGATACAAAACAACATTCCTAAATAATTCAGAAAAACAAAGAACCAACTGGATCATAATGTTAAGAGTTCTTCTCTTGACAAAGAAAATCAGTGATGCTGCAGATTTTCTGACACTTAGTGTGTTGATTGGCATGATACTGTCATTATTTTCTGCCATATATTTTGAATTATGTGGGAAACATAAAAGAATATGCAAATTTTCTCCTTCATGCTTTACAGGATATAGCATTTATCCTCCTAATGCTCCAGCCAAAATCAGCACCTGGATGAAGAGCAGCTGGCTAAAGCTGAACCCAGGAAAATTAATGCCATTTGGAAAAGGGAACCTCTCAGA